AATATACTCGACCGGGTAAATTAATATACCCGATCGGGTATCCGTTTACATTTTTTTAAGGAATTGGCAAACACACCATTTTTTTAACTCGATCGAGTATAGAGTACTCGATCCAAATCTGTCATTTCTCTGATATACTCGACTGGGTGGGGTGTTGTTACCCGATCGGGTACTTCACCTTGGAGCTTGATTTCGTTCATTATTTTTGGCATGGATCCGACCGGGTAAGTGATTATGCCTGATCGGAGGTTTCCCCAAGCTTTCAAAACTCTTTTTTTTTTCTCCCCCTTTCTTTGGAAATTTATCTCACATTCTCTCAAAGTTGACATTAAAAAATAAAAACAAAAACAATAATGAAAAACTACATACCTTTGCTTGGGTTGCCTCCCAAGAAGCGCCTCGTTTAACGTCGTGACACGACGCCATCATTGTGTTCAATCGTTCAAGCTTGGATCATGATAATTATTTTGACCCTTCACTTCGAAAATCTTTCCAGGATCAAATATCAAGATTTCCATTGATTCATGTGGTGAGAGTGAGGGAAAGAAATTATCGATTAACATGATCAATGGAAAATGTTTTGATCTCTCAATTTTGGTGAAGATTTCAAAAATGTCTTTATCCTTTCAGAAATTATCGATTAACATGATCAACGAAATTTTGTTTATAAAAATGTGACTAGTGATTATAGTACTAATGAAATTATAGTAACTTGTGTTCAATTTTTAAACTTAAGTTACTATGACACTACATTATATTGTAGTAATTAATAGTGTAAATAAATTTTATTTTAGTAATATTTTTGTAAAAGTTGTGTATGTGCTAATGAAAATATTTTTTGCATTAAAAACAGGTTGAGCCCTACATTAGCGGAAAAAAGAAGATATTATTACATATTTATGACTAAATAATGAAGATTGTTAACAAAAATGTGACTAGTGACTAGAGTAGTAATGAAATCATAGTAAAGAGTTGTTTACTTTTTTGCTCATTAATTCCTGAATAGATTAAGACGTCTGTCTGCATTAAGCTGTCTGTCTGGATTAAGTTACACTGAGATAAATAGTTGTTTACTAAGTGTGATGAATGAGAAGTCTTAATCATGTCTAATGACCAAATAACTCTCCTGTCTGTAACAAGTGTTGAATGTATATTGTCTATTTAGTTTCTTTGTTCTGAAAGATAAAATTTATATACCAGAAAATAATAACACTATGAATTACTTAAATTAAAGAATCATATTGCATAGTAAAACAAATTCAAGAGTTTTACGAGAACGACATTTTAAATTTAAACATTTCATACTAGTCTATTAACAATTTCACCCGGCAAATTTGCCATATATTGTAGACTTTGTGTACCCTATTGTGCTCCATGTACTTCCTCTCCAATGTCTTCAACTTCCTCTTGTGCTTGATGATTGATTATATTGTCATTATCCCATTCATCCAAGAATTCATTATTTACATAAAATAAAATGAGAACATACGGGAACATTGCTTGCTGCTTTTGTTTTCAATTGATATATGGGTAATATATGTGAAACATTTTCTTAACATTTGTCGCTACAAACTGCCAGTACCAAAAATAAATCAATTGAACACAAAAGTACCCATTCTTGATGTTACTGGCTATGAAACATTACACAATATCCAAAAAACTGTAGAAATCAATAATAAAGTTTAAGGACACAACAACAACTTTTACGGTCTACAGATTTCAAGCACAGTTTATGTTTCTTCATTATTTTGCTTGAGAATGTTGGGTGTGTTTCGGAAAATAAAGATAATTAATTAAAATAAATTAATTAAATAAAATGACTAGAGAAAAACAAGAAAGGAGATGAAGCAGAATTAGTCAAAGCTCGTGCTACGCAAGATTTCCTTAAAACGTATTTGTTGCCTCCCACGGTGCTAGGAGCGTTGCAACAATCGTTTCCCAGGATACGATGACTACGAACTAATGTTTGAGCACACAAACAAGAGTTCCAGCGAACGAGAACCAAGTAAGAACACAGAAGGAATTTTTAGAGTAGCTGTAGGTGTTTTTAGCTCAAGAAATTCGTGAGGAAAGTATTGTGCGTTGTGTCAAACCGTGTGTTTGTTGCAAAGCACCTGCCAGCTATTTATAGGAGAATTTGTTGTGTGTTAAATGGGGTGTTAATGGACCTGAACGTTGGACATCAATGACCAGTCCGTTGGGCATTGAATCGTCCATAAACTGTCCATTTAACGCAGCATTAAAAGAGAAGAACGTTGGGCATTAATTGTTGTAACGGAAGAAATGCGCGACAGAAGACCCCAACAGAACACCCCTTGGAGGGTTTCTGTCCGAAGCCAGCAAAACACCCCTTGGAGGGTTTCTGTCCGAAGCCAACAGAACACCTCTTGGAGGGTTTCTGTCCGAAGCCAACAGAACACCTCTTGGAGGGTTTCTGTCCGAAGCCGGCAGAACACCCCTCGGAGGGTTTCTGTCCGAAGCCAACAGAACACCCCTTCGAGGGGTTCTGTTCGAGGCCTTCTGTCCGGAGCACTTCTGGGAAAAATAAACGTTTCGGGAAGAAAACAAAAATTAACCGTATCTCTTGAGAGATAGATTTTTGGACGGCATTTGATCGGCACCCCCCTGCGCGTAAGAGAGAGTCTTTCCCTTTAGGAATCTTAACTCCTTAAAAGAGGCTTCCCTTTAAAAGGGGGTGAAAATCCCTTGAGTTTTTCGATGTGGGATAAAACACACTAGAAACTCATCATTTTCCCAGTTTTTCCATTTCAACGAGTGAACTTCGAGAATCAATTTCTCATTCACCCGTTATCCGTTTTGAGTGTACCACATATCGAATTGTAGCCCTTAACAAGGACAATCCGAAACCACTTTGATCCGACCCAAATCGGAAGTGGACCCCACTCAAATAATTGCCCCAAAATGATCATTTAATGCAATTTTTAACACATTTTTCCAACAATCCCCCACATGAATGAAAATTGATTTTCGAGACTTAAAAGACACGAAGATAGGAGGACACGTTGTGTTCACCGGATGATCCTTTCATACAGAGAGGTAGGTTTTATCCTTTGAACCTTCCATTGTAAAGACACGTTTATTTACTGGTTGTCTAGTAGACTCGATGTCCTTGAACTATACTGCCGTCGTGTAAACATTGACTTATCTTTACACAAGAACCTTCCAACTTTGTTCCGTTCTCATGGGTGTGCCCGTTTTGGCCATGGGTCACCGTCCTAGTTCTGCAAGAGTTTCTAAAGAACTGAGCCTTTACAGTTCTCCTTTGAAGCGGCCCTCTTCTCTCTCACATAGGTGATGCTTTCACGAGTATCCCGCATACTCTTCCAATGTTATCGATGTAGATCAACATTTTAGAATCATTAAAGCAAACGTTTTTGCTAACCTCGTGCGGGAGTCACTGTTTTAACGAGGAGTGGGTAGGAGTCCGAGACCCCCACAGTGACCATCCTTCGCTCTATAATTTAGTTGTCCCTTTTGAACCTAGGACCAACTAGGTTGGGTATCCACTATAGAACTTTTCAATTCACGGGCTTTAGTCCCATTCCTCGTGACAACTTCTCCAACAATTCTCTATCCAATGCCTTGGTTAGCGGATCCGCTATGTTATCCTTTGACTTCACGTAGTCAACAGTGATAACACCCGTTGTGAGGAGTTGTTTAATGGTGTTATGTCTACGACGAACGTGTCTAGACTTACCATTGTAGAGATTGCTCTGTGCCCTTCCAATTGTCGCTTGACAATCGCAATGTATGCATATTGGAGGGACAGGCTTCTCCCAACTTGGAATATCCTCGAGAAAATGGCGTAGCCATTCAGCCTCTTCAGTGCACTTATCCAAGGCTATTAGCTCAGACTTCATCGTGGATCTAGCTATTAACGTTTGTTTTGAGGATTTCCATGACACGGCTGCACCTCCCAAAGTGAAAACATATCCACTTGTGGACTTAGAGTCCCTTATGTCGGATATCCAACTAGCGTCGCTATACCCTTCAAGTACAGCTGGATATCTTCCATAGTGCAGTCCAAGATTTTGGGTTTTACGTAAATACCTCAAAACCCTTATTATTGCCTTCCAATGTTCATCACCGGGGTTGCTAGTATATCTACTTAGCTTGCTAACCACAAAGGCAATATCAGGCCTGGTACAACTCATTAGATACATCAAGCTTCCAATAATCCTAGCGTATTCTACTTGAGAAATACACTCTCCACGATTTTTGGTAAGTTGTACGTTTTTATCTAATGGAGTCCTTGCCTCTTGATAATCATCCTTATTAAATTTCGTAAGGATTTTATCAACGTAATGAGATTAGCTTAGCGTAAGACCGTCAGGTCCTCTAATTATTTTAATCCCAAGGATTAAATCGGCCAGCACCATATCCTTCATGTCAAATCGGAAGTGGACCCCACTCAAATAATTGTCCCAAAATGATCATTTAATGCAATTTTTAAAACATTTTTCCAACACAGAAAACTTTGGTACCTGAGAGGATGGAACCAAGTGTACCCAACACTGCAAAAGCAAGAAGAGGACTAACATCCAGAGTATCAAAAATAGGGGGGATTATATTCCTGAAGAGATTCAAATATGGATCACAAAGATCTCTGATAGCGGACAGTGGCCGTCTTTCCCATGGTATATTCGGGAACCAACTGAGCAAATCTCTAATCATCAAAACACCACTGTATATATCAAGCCATTTACCCATCCCAGCAGCGATCACCGTGAGCGGCGTGTTCACAACAACAATGGAGCTTTTTGCGGCGGCGGAAAACGCGGTCCCTGCAGAGCACACCGGAGCCCCCCACCGGCATCCGTTCAGATGCATACCTAGGTTGTGGACTACGACTTTCAAGACTGCGATTGCGAGCGCGAGAAATGTCGCGGCTGAGTGTGTTGACCCTTGAGTGGCGACTCGGCGTGTTGACTGCTGCTTGCTGCTTGTATACGATGAAATGTTCGAACGAGAAGAAGGTTAAGGGAGATTTAGGAGTAAATAAAGGTATAATTGCAACAATAGGACTTTAAAGTTTAAATTCCCGACTAATTCTTCCTATTCTACCCTTTCCTTTGTCCTTGATGATAGAATTTTTAAACAATCATTATAAAATATAAAAAAATTCAAAATAAAAAGAAAAAAAATCATAAAAAATATTTAAAAAATATATAGATCCCATCCAGTCCAACCACCACCTCAGCCACCTTCCAGCACCGCCACCTCTGGTCACCGGAAAAGATGGCCAAGTTGGGAAAAAATGTCATCATGATGGCAATTTTGAAGAGAAAACAAGAGAAAGCTGGATAATTTCAAAGAGTAAAAATGTCATCTTTATGGCATTTTCAGAGAAGTGTGCCAGTTTTTACACAAGATGACATTTTTCCGGTGACCGGAGTCGGTGGTGCTGGAAGGTAGAGGACGTGTTAGCAGTGACCTACATATTTTTTAAATATTTTTTAGGTATTTTATTTTATTTTTTGGACTTTTAAATATATTTTTATTATTTTTAATTTTTTTATTTTTAATTTATTTTTTCACGTTTTCATTTTTATTTTATAAATATTTTATTTTTTTTTATATTTTTATTATAAATAAAACTATGATTTTCTTATTAATAAAATAAATCTATTGGAAATGATAGGAAGGGGGTAGAATGGGAAGAAGAGACATATATTATTCCTATTTTGGGAATAAAAGGATTGTACTCCTATTGTTGAATTTTGGGCTTATTTTACTCCTACTAAGGGCTAATACCCGTAACATTAATGAAATAATTGCTCTAAATAAGACTAAAACATGGTTAAAATTCCACAATAGGACATTAAGTTTATTATTCCCTAAATAGGACTCCAATTTCTTTTTTACCCTTCATCTAATAAAACCCCAAAATAGCTATCGGCTCCAACAGATGCAGAACAACAGCGATTTGCGATGAAGACCCCAAACCATCTGCGATGAAGATGCCCAGGCCATCTGCGATGAAGACCAACAACTATTTGGAATTTCAAAATATTTTACTCCTATTTAAAACAATTTCTACTTGTTAAATGAGTAATAAAAAGAGGACTGCTGGCTACGTGCATAATGCACGGTGCATTGAATGGAAACACCTCTAGTTCGCTTGTTTACTTATTTTTTAGCACTATTTAGTTTTCTAGGTAGAATTTATTGTTTTTACAATATATATATTGTTAGTATTAAATATTTCTCGTTAGGATTATTAGTGTGATAGGTTATTTATCATATTAACAAATGATAAATTAATTACTTACTGCATTTATATTTTATAGAAAAATCGATATCTGTAGATATATGCAGGCATAAGCTAAATTTTAGTCATTTAAATTCATAAGTATGTGATATGATAAGAGTAAATGACACTATTTAATTAACTATTAAATAAGTTGTACATTATCTATGTTTAAACATCGCAGGGAGGCGATATGAACACCCGATACTTTCATAATGCTGTCAAACATCGCAGGAGGAAGAATAAAATTGAGGGGTTCCGGCTGGACGATGGGCGATGGGAGAAGGATAGGGCTGCGGTTGGGGGTTTAATTGCTGATTATTTTAATAATATTTTTACCGCAGGTATCGGAAGTGGTGATTTTGTTTTCGGGTGTGTTCAAAGGAAGTTACATGATATCCATAATAGCGATCTGCTACGCCCTATTCGCGGAGAAGAAGTGAGGGAGGCACTGTTCGCTATGTTTCCAGACAAGTCGCCAGGACCGGATGGGCTGAGCCCGGGATTTTATCAGCACTACTGGGACGTGGTAGGCCCGGATGTGATTAATTTTTGCAAGGAAGTTTTCGAAACAGGTAAACTCCCTCAAAAAATTAATCATACGAATATTGTATTAATCCCGAAAAAAGATAAACCGGAGGTTATTGGTGACTGGAGACCTATAGCCCTCTGCAATGTGATTTATAAGATTTTCTCTAAGCTTCTGGCTAACAGAATGAAAAAATGGCTTCACCTGTGTATCTCAGAACAACAGAGTGCATTTATACCAGGTAGACATATTGTGGATAATATTATTTTGGCTTTCGAATCCCAACATTTCTTAAAACGGAAGCGCCAGGGTAAGACAGGGTTAGTAGCCCTTAAGCTAGATATGAGTAAGGCATATGACAGAGTTGAATGGCCCTTTTTGGAAGGGATGATGAGGCATTTGGGTTTTGAAGAAAGATGGGTGCGGTTAGTGATGGAGTGTGTCACTTCTGTTTCGTATTCAATTCCTTTTGGTGATGAGGATATAGAACCATCTCGTCCGGGGAGGGGGCTGCGGCAAGGAGATCCCCTATCGCCATACTTGTTTCTTCTAGTCGCAGAAGACCTTAGTGTACTTCTTCGTAGATATGAGACCTTGGGCCGTATTCATGGAGCTACGGTCGCTCGTGGGGCGCCGATGATTTCTCACTTGTTTTTTGCAGATGATAGTCTGCTATTTTTTAGAGCTACACATGATGAGGCAGCTCTTGTCAAAGAATCGTTAGCAGATTATGAAGGGGCTTCGGGTCAGGTAATTAATTTTAATAAATCCAAAGTCTTTTTCAGTTCTAATGTTGGGGATGATTGCAAGGAGGGTCTGACTGATCTGCTCGGGGTGGAGTTGGCTGGGAAAGATGAGAGGTATTTGGGGTTACCGACTCTGGTTGGGAGAGGGAAGACTGAAATTTTGAGTTATATTAGACAAAGGGTGGTTAATCGTATCCATAACTGGAACAATAAATTCTTGTCAAAAGCGGGGCGAGAGGTTCTTTTAAAATCTGTTATCCAGGCTATGCCTACCTACGCTATGAATGTTTTTTTACTGCCCAATGAATTATGTAGAGAGATTGAAGTTTTAATGAACGGTTACTGGTGGAAGGGTAAGTCTGGGAAAGGCATCCGTTGGAAGGATTGGGCTTCTTTAAGTAAACCAAAAAAGAACGGGGGAATGGGGTTTAGGAGGTTACGGGAGTTCAATCTAGCTATGTTAGCTAAACAAGCTTGGAGAATTTTTACTAACCCCGGGTCGCTGGTTAGTAGAGTTTTTAAGGCCCGCTACTATCCTAAAAGGGATTTTTTGTCTGCCTCCCTGGGTTATAATCCCTCATTTATTTGGAGGAGTTTGTTTGAGACCCAAAAAATTATTAAAGGGGGTTATAAATGGAGGGTAGGGGATGGTAAATCTATTAATATTTGGGAAGATCCTTGGTTACCTGATAGGGAGAATCCTAAGGTTACTTCTGATGTTGGTTTGGGGTTGGAACAAGCGGTGGTTGCAAATTTAATGGACGAATCGGGGAAGACGTGGGATATGGATGTACTGAGGGATTTGTTTGACAGCAGGGATTTGGGTCTGATTCAGAGCATCCCGATTAGCATTCGGCCGGTGTCAGATGTACCCTGTTGGAGGTGGGAAGAAGACGGTCGATTTTCGGTTAGGAGCTGCTATCGAAATTTAATTGGCGAATTTTGTTCTACGGGGGGGATGGAGTGGAATGTTATGTGGTCTTGGAATCTTCCTCCAAAAATTAAATCCTTTTTCTGGCAGGTGTGCAGCGGGTGTCTCCCGACGAAGAAGAACTTGAGTTCTCGCCGAGTGGACTGTTCAGATCAGTGTGGTTTGTGTGGCACTTTAGGGGAATCTTTATCTCACATTTTTTGGACTGTATTGTAGCAAAGCAAGCTTGGTCGAAGATTGCGTGGAGATGGACTAATTCTGGTGCCATTCACTTCTTGGAGCAGGTGCAGCAAGAATTTCAGGTTCGGAGGAAGAAGGATTTGATGAAAATTATTTGGGGCTGTTGGGGGATTTGGTGCGAGAGGAATCATCGAATCTGGCAGAACACTTCCTCTTTACCGCAGTAGTTTATGCTCAAAGCGGAAGCTTTCGTGGTTGGATGGCAGCAGGTACAATCAGCCCGAGGGGGAGGTCGGTCGGGGAGGCAGCCCTCTGTTATTGCTTGGCGTTGTCCTGCAGCGGGGAGGGTGAAACTTAACACGGATGCTGCTGTCCGTACAGACTCCTGTGGGTTCGGGTGGTGCTTACGAGATGAAGAGGGCAGGTTCGTGGCAGGGGCTGCTCAACCGTGGTTTGGGAGTTTATCGCCGTTGGAAGCTGAATTAATGGGGATTAGAGAAGCTCTTAGATGGCTGCAGAATTTGGAGTGGCCCAATGTTGATGTTGAATCTGATGCATCCCGTGCCATTTCAGAGATCATTAATGGCTCTAGCTGCTCTTCTATTGGATTAATTGCTGAAGATATAAGAGATATTGCGAATCGTTTTTCTAGTATTTCGTTTTCTCATGTTGGGCGATCAGCGAATAAGCTAGCTCATACCATTGCTAGAGCTGCTTGTTCTGTGTCTGATTTGCATTCTTGGTTTTATGCTCCTCCATCCTTTATTCTCTCTGTATTGGACAATGATTTGATCAATGCTAGTTAAATCTTTTTATTGCAAAAAAAAAATCTATGTTTAAATATATAAACTATATATACAACAACATCCAAGCCTTAAATATATAAACTATATAATGTAAAAAATATATAACCTATATAATGTATGTCTAAAATTAGAAAAACAATTGAACTTTATGACTTATTGAATTGATATATTTGTTAAGTATTCTTTATGAGTAACATTTATAACACAATAAAAGTCCTCGGTATAAAATACTAAAATATATGTTTTCATCATAGATTATTAGATTCATAGCTTTGGCGCCGAACTAGTGACTTGATATCACGTTTTGTAATCACGTCCGCGCCGACCAAATATCAAGAGTTTAAAGAAATATGGAGTAGTAGTTATAAACGCCTTCCACTAGTACAAAAAAGGCTTTTCACATCGGTCAAAAAAGGCTTTTCACATCGATCAAACAGCCGATGTGGTTCCAGCACATGTGAAAAGTATTGACTTTTGACATCGGTCAAACAGCCGATGTGAAAAGTCTTTCTACATCGGTCGTTTAGTGCCCGATCTAGAAGATAGTCCGAAACGGTGTTTTAATGATTTTTCACATCGGTTATAACCCATGTAGAAAAGAAACCACATCGGTTATTTTACAACTGATGTAGAAAAGCTTCAATTTTTCCCGGAGTATAGGTTTTTCACATCGGTTATAACCCATGTAAAAAAGAAATCACATCGGTTATTTCACAACTGATGTGAAAAGCTTCATTTTTTTTCGGAACATGTGTTTCACATCGGTTATAACCCATGTTGAAAAACAATCACATCGGTTATTTCACAACTGATGTGAAAAGCTTCATTTTTTTCGGAACATGTGTGTTTCACATCAGTTATAACCCATGTAGAAAAGCAATCACATCGGTTATTTCACAACTGATGTGAAAAGCTTCATTTTTTCCGGAACATATGTGTTTCACATCGGTTATCACCCATGTAGATAAGCAATCACATCAGTTATTTTACAACTGATGTGAAAAGCTTCATTTTTTTGGAATTTTTCAGGAAAAAATTTTGCAATATGACCCCCGTTTATACTCTAATCACATCATTAACAGTATCATCAACTACTATAACACAATTTTTCACCTGTTCACTTGATCCATCTAAAACAATGACACAAGCTTACACCCTTACTTTTATTAATTACATAACAATATAGTCAAGATCACATGAAATAGAGAACACACCACCAAAATTAGCAAAGCACCATAATAACATTCCATTACCTGTTAAAATATTTTACAAGTAGGTAAAGTATCAATGAGTTACAGATTACTCATGATCTTTGAACATAAATTTATAATACTTTTACAGATAATACGTTCATCTCGTGCCGTTGAAGTAATTCACTATACATATCCAGAAAAATGATGCTCAATGTCTTTCAGAGAGAACGGTTCCAGATTGAAGAATCTCTACAAAGCCAAAATAAAATCTTACTAGTTCATAACAAAAACACGAAGTTTAACAATATCTTGCTGCTTATAATTAAAAAAAGTTGCTTTGAGTTATATAAGCAGAAAGTGGGAATTTATTTTAACACTTTCAAAACTCTTCCGGAACTCAAACCTGTATTTTATGTCAGAGTGACAACATTTTAACCACTGTGCTAGGCTGCATGCAGTATAACTAGGCTGCCTTAAAATAAGTACTAATGCCATACCAGAGCTCTATGTAATACTTCCTCCGTCTCTTTTTAGTTGCAACAGTCAACATTTCACGTTTGCCAACGCACAACTTTGACAGTCATTATATTTAATTCTATATTAGTAAAAATAAAATAAAAATCAGATTATAAAACTTAGTAGTGAGACGAATTTAACAACATTTTTCAAAAAAAATAATTCACATACATTATTAAATAAAATGTAGTCAAAGTAAAGTACATGAATAGTGTATATATTCCAATGTTGCAATTATTGAGATACGGAGGATAGTATAATTCAAGAATATACAATCTGACCTGTATTAATTAAGAAAACAAATGAAATTAAGAGTGAAGCAATGTTATAATTAAAATTGAATTACTAATCAAGGGAATATGGAAAAACTATGAAAATAAGAATCACATGAAAAGGACACATATGATTTGCAGTGAAACTCCACACCAAGATACAAAAGAACTCCACGAAAAACATGTTACTGGAATTTGAAACTGCAGAATAGCAATCTGCAATATAATAATATTTTAGTCCATTTACATCTTGTGCACCTGTACACAAAACATAGCCAAGTGTGAAAACATTTTTTTTGGAAACAAATGGATTGATAATAGCTGAAGATGATGAAAGATTCAGCTCCTACCATCAACATAGCAGATTAGCAAGAATATAAATGGAAAGAATATGGAAAGGAAGGTCAAGAAAATGGAAAGGTTTATTGGCGCCACAATGCAGTTAACTCAAGAACTTGAAGTGCTTGCAGAGAATGAGCAAACTTTGAGACGGATGCAGGCTGGTGGTCCCAATTCCAATTCTGGTCAAGTGAAATTAATCGAGTTTCAGCAGAAGGTTATTCGACAGCGCCTGGAAGTTAAGAATCTGCAAGAAATGTCACCTTGGGTTAGATCGCATGACTACATTGTCCGGCTTCTACTCTGATCCATTTTCACAATTATTTTGAGAATCAAGTCTGTTTTTGGGATAGAACATAACACGGTAGTTACATCTACTAAAACTGAAGAGAGAAGTCACTGTGAGGATTTGAGAACCAACTCTCTAACCCGCAGCCGCTCTGTCTCTGGTTCTATTTATCCATCTGAAAATAACATGTTCGGGTTCTACTCAGGACCTGTAGTTAGGTCACTGGAGAGGTCACTTTCAAGTAAGGGGCATAATAGTGTCAATAAAAACAAGATAAATAACCAAAAGATATTACTTATCAGATAGTCATCGGTTCTCTGCGGGAAACCGTCGCTGGTCAAAGCTGTTATAAAAAGTTTCATGCCAATAAATGATCACCTTTTGGATTGTCGCCATGAATCAAAAGACAGAAACGTCCTTCTTGGGGGTGTCATAAGGGGAACTAAAGCTTCTTTTTTCAATATGAAACATAAGAAGATGTTAGCTGTACCCCCATCAACTCTTGGTTATGCAGCCTTAGCTCTCCACTACGCAAATATTATCATAGTTATTGTGAAGTTGGTGTCTTCGCCTCACTTGATCAGTCCTGATGCTAGAGATGACCTGTATGGTATGTTACCAACTAGTATAAGAAACTCACTGAGGGCCAGGTTGAAGATATTCACAAAGACATTGGCTTCATCTGTTTATAACCCTTCACTAACAGGAGGATGGGCTACAACAGTTGGAAAAATAATAGATTGGTTATCTCCACTTGCTCATAGCACAGTGAGATGGCATTCTGAGAGAAACTTTGAGAAGCAACCAACAATTTTTGGGAGCAATGTGCTTCTTGTCCAGACCCTCTACTTTGCAAACCAAGCTAAGACCGAAGCAGCAATTGTTGAACTTCTGATGGGTCTCAATTACCTTTCACGATTCGGTGAGGAAATATATCACAGAAACAAAGCCACGAAGTCTTCTTGTGGTAGGGATTGTGATGAATATTTTCTCCACCAGGGCATTTCTCATTGTGCAATAAATATTGGGCCATAAGAGACTGCCTTATAAATGATATCTGAATGATCTGTAGCTGGCAGATTGAATGCAAGGCATATTAGGATGAGGATGCAGTGTTGTACTTATAACACATACCTGGGAAGAGAAGTTACTTCATCTTTTTTTTGTAACATTTACCTGTAAAGCATTTACATTATTTGCAATGGAGCCAGAGATTCACTATTTTTTGGCCTGAGAATATGATGGAATAAAGGAAAACCACTCACTAAAAAAACACATATTCACTCCAAACAATATAGATCCATAATGCAAAAGATTTTAAAAATATACTAGCATTCCTACACGAAGAAAATGTTAACAGTTCACCTTCCGGTTTAGCCTTACCTAGATAAAGCATACCTGAAGAGTCAAAGATTTTAAAAACAGATGATCCTCCAGTACCTTCCACTAAAAAATTACCAGAGAAGTGCAAGAAATTTTTCATGACAGTAAGATGCCCAACTATCTTCCTCTTTGGTGTGACAAGAACACAACGGTATTTTTTGAATAGGCTTCAGAAGCAACAACAGAGAGAGGAAGGCGTAACTTTTCATCAAAATGATAATTCCGTCTCAACAGAGAGAGGAAGGCGTAAGATGCCCATCTATCTTCCTCTTTGGTGTGACAAGAACCCAGCTTGTTTTCGTGATATAGAAGCTATAAAAATAATAATATAAAGCCACCTTTCACGCCTCTCCTGAGTTCTAACCCCACCCACATTAATACAATGACACCCACTTATAGCAACCATTATCCCTACACAATAGCCAACAGATAGAGCACATTGACATCAATTTACTAGATGTATGTATTTATTGTGTTGCTTCCATGGAATTCTAGTCGAGAAAGGAAACTTTTCATTGCTTGCATTTTTAGAAGGTGATTTTAAAACACTCGGACAGAACAACCAGAAATCAAATAAAGTCAACAATAGAACGGTATAACCAAAAAAGGAAGTTGCCAAATCATATAATTAAGAATTCCCAGAAATGTTTTCTCAAAATGGAGTACATACTTACAACCCAAAAATTCCTTAAATTGTCATTTTCCTTATTTAACTTCAGATAATTCAGAGTGTACAAATGCTAAGGAATTCCTAATCTTTCCCGAGTGAAGAAAAGTAAACAAAAACAAAACTAAAACACATCCAGCTACCCAAACCCTAACTTGGAATCTATCCGTAAAACAAAATTACAGCTTTTACCCAAGAACAAAATGGTTTGGAGGGGAAATAAATTAGTAACACCTCAATTAGACTGAATTCATGACAAAGGAAATAAATTAGTAACCCCTCAATTAGACTGAATTCATTTTTGGAA